ATTATCTTCGAGACTAAATTAATCTAGTTTTAAATTTAAAAGACGAAATAGACATGCTATAGGTAACTATCAGCTAATATTACCAAGAGTAAAAACCCGGAAACATGAGGGTCGTTTCAGCAGATATTTTTGCATAAAAAGCAGATCAAGATCTCGATTAAGGTGCTGCTTCCAAGAAATGTTATACGCTGAAAATAGTCAACAACGATCATGTTTTCTAATTTCGAGAGGAAGTTGGCAATTCACTTTATCGTCTGGGATATACTAAAAACAGTAGTAAGGCCTTGCTTATCCAATGCACTTGACTATGGGGGAGATTTTTCATTGATGAAAAATAGAACTATTTGATGCTTAATCAAATTATAATTGCAAGTGAAGCGTGTTGTTTTGTTTTCAAGACAAAACGTGGCGCAGTTAGGCTACCAAAAAATGAAATTTCTCACCGCGATGGAAAATTTCTTGAAAGCCACCTGTCATATTACAGATCGATTTGGTATTGATTCGTGAACGGGTGTGGTTTTTTTCGTACGCGCTCACAAAAAACAAAACGGACAAAAATTTCTAAACAATAAATGAAAACTGCACATAACTTTGGACTTTTCCATTTATGCCTGGCGATAGTTAACTTAATTTAACTCTCTTTTGATGGCTAAGAATTAAACAATTGGAAAAGTCAGCTACAAGAAATGATAGCGTTTTGGCGCAGTTAGCTTCAAATATGAATGTATTCAAGAGAATAAAAATTTGAGTGTTTCAACTTATTGCAGAATGCCTAATGCGTACGATGTTTCTCTCTCAGCAAGTTGAACGAATCGCTTTAGAGAGGAAGAATATGGCAATCACTGTGGATTTTCATTTATTATCACCACATTTTGGCATCTAAGAAAGATGGGGCAGACATAACTTTTCAATAGAACAACTTTTTCCTTACACATTTATAACAGCAATAATTTCCCTCAGTGATCTTCCTGCATCGTAAGTCGGAGAAGTTGTAGAATTCTATGGTAATGGCTGCGTTTTACTTGATATGAACCATTAAATAGATAATGGAAACTCAATACATCGAGGGGAAATTATGGACATGAACCAAAATTTATTGGCTAGGATTTTGTGAATGGAAAACAAAATGTGCAAGGATCGCGCCACACGGTGGTGTGTAACGAACTTACAAGACAAGACCCTAAAGTTTATCACAATTATAGGTCATGAACAATTTTGTGCCTGCTCAGTCTGAGTTTTTGTGCCAAAAGGAACGTGAAGCACGTTACAAAAGCAAAAGGGGAGAACTAGAAAAAACAGAAAGATACAAAATTTTGCACACGGTCTAACAATTTTCACCTCCAACACGATCTCCGCCAGGAAATGATATTTCATAATCATTCAGGAAAAGCTCGGCATTAAACCGGAACTTGTAAAGCAGGAACGTCAAAAGAAAGGACATGATTATACATTTTAAGTTACTTCCTTTTAAGTCACCAGTGGTGATAAAAGTTAAAACTGCGTGAAGGTTCCACGAACGGAGTATGTCTGGAATTACTTAATCATGTAGATATTTCAGAGCAGCCTTCCTCTGACGCATCGCTCTTATTAAGTCATCCCAGAGAGGCAACTAGAAACAAATGTCAGTAGAATAGAGAAATATGTGGCTGTCAAAGTGCGTAATCTCCTCTTTATGAATTTGACTTTCATGAGAAGGGAATAGACATACTAGAGGTAAATATAAGCATCTAATTTTACTGAAAGTAAAAATCGGAAGACACGAGGGTCGTTTTGTGAGAAACGTTTGCATAAATGAGAAATAAAGGTCCCAGTTGAGGAGTTGCTTCTCTGCAACGTAATAATGGCTGCAAATAGAAAACGGTAGTCATGTGCTTTTAATTTCAAAAGGAAGTTGATTAATCTATTGTTTAGTCTAGAACATTCCTAACAGCAGCATGTCCGTGTGTATTCAACGCACTTGACAGTGGGAGAGATTTTTCGTTAATAGTGTGCTGGACTATTCACTTCAGTTAGTTTAAAACGCAAAACGGGAATATTTAGGCTTATAAGTTACGGGAGCTCATTTTCTGGTCATTGACACCTGGAAACCAAGGGGTGCCGTCATGACGAGGATCTATTTCAGAAGTCAACAGCTCTTGTAGAAGACGCATTAATCCATGCTAGAAGTCTGTCACACTATGGGGAAGTCACTGCTAAATATGAGTAGCATACGCTACCTCAAACAACTTTATATTCCTTATTTGGGTAAGGCTGGTCTAGCTTGAATTAACCAAGCTAGTTAAACCAAGGTACGGAAACGAGTCAAGATCAAAAACTGTTGTTCCACAGAGTCTGAAATCCCTGAAGCCTAAACTGTTCGATACCAGATTCCCATCCAAGACGAACAACTATACAAAACGCCCAGGAAAGACCCACCCCCCCCTTGCAAAGGGGGGGGTGGGTCTTAATTCTACTTTATATCATGCAATTGTGCTTCCCCCCACCTGGTCGCTCTAGTAAGCCACAACCATCTGTTACGCTGGATGTGGATTACATGTAGCAGATTATCGCAGCAAATTAAATTAAGCAGATCAATCAGATCATCACCATGGACTTGATCAGCGGCTCTAACCAGATGTGCATTCCATGCGGCTTCATAAAGTACTCTGGGGTTGCGATGCAATTTTTGAAAAAAATTGATTTTCTTTATCCAAACGTCGCCTATAGTATACGCAATTTTGTATGTAGGTGCACACTCCACCGCCACCTCGATTTAGTCCATCCATCCTTTAAGTGGTTTTTTCATCCATCTTTTCATTCATTCTCTCATCACTCCATTCTTCCATCAAGCTTTCCAACCATCTTTCCATTCATCCAATTATTCTTTCATTCATTTTTTATTTCTGCATCCCTTAATCTTTCCACTATTTAAACTGGTCATCTATTTATCAGTCCAACAACCTCTACATCAATTCATTTACCCATCCATCTCTTTCATGTACTCGTCCATTTATCAACTGTTTGAACCACACGTTTTTACTGTTCTTCTTTCTACCTGGTTTTGTTTCGGCCAAGTGTGTACACAACGACCGAAGAAACGAGGCAACAATTAACAGATAGAGAAGCCTTGACTGTGCTCTGTTCTGTTTTAAAGCGCGCAGGAAGCGGCTAGAGCATTCAAGAAATATAGGGAGAAACACGAGACCTAGTCGAGTGTTTCTCCCCACTTCTTGAGTACTCAGCAGAGTCAAGGCTTCTCTATTTGTTTTATAATAAAGAATCCGTTAAATTTCCCAAGCAAACTCCCAAGCATTACCTTCAATTTTCAAAACAAACTTTATTTCCAAAGCGAACAACAGTGTCGTCAGCATGCTCTCTACTCTCATAAAGCACGCTACAATAAGCCAATCAGAATCCCTGTTAGAATGGTCCAAATAATCTGATTGGCTGTACAGGACTAAAGCTGTCAAAAATGTCAAGCCATCAAAGTTCAAAAACCATCAAAGTTCACATTCTACAATAGTTTAAAAACTTGAATAGTTCGGCAGGTCGAATTTAACACTTCTGCCTGAAGTTTTTTTAGTCTCTAATACAAAATCTGAAAGTGAAATGCTAAGTGAAACTCGGCAGAATTGTGACTCATAAAAAACACGCAAGTTTTTTCACACGACAAGTAGAAAACAAGCAGTTCAAGGCGGGTGTTTTATGAGTGAACTTCAGCCGAATTCACCGAAACATAAAGATCACTCGGGATGACAGCGCCGTGACACTTGGCTGCAGTGACTGATGTGGCCTTCCACTCAATGCATCGGAAAGGATATCAGAGCAAGCTCTAATTTTTTCACTCGAAGGGCGGCCGATGTAGTTCCTGAGGCTTGCTTCACTGCGATGACCAAAGATCGCCATGATGAGCTAGCCGCTGTGGACCTCAGCGTGATCGCACTCGCTCTGACAGTATGAATTAGTATGAATTTTAACAGTTATGCCAGTTTGGTGATATTTTTCATCATTACTGTTTTGTTCTGTTTTGTTTTTGATTACGAAACTTCACTTGCTATACGAGTGTTAGCTGTGTTTGATTTTTATTACCGTACATAAGCTTGCCATCTAACTAAGCATGAAAACCTCTAAAACTCGGACCGTCCATTTCGTTTTCTCCTTGAGGATTTTCGTCTCTGCTCACGTTATAATAACGTAATTACGGCGCCTGGCCTTTTTAAAAACCTTTGTTTGGTTCTTCTGTTGCTACTTGCCGGCTCGCTTGTTCCGAAATTTCACTTTCAATTAACGAAAAGAAGCCAGAGAGAAGTCCCGGAAAAGGTCAAACACAGTACAATTTGGCAGATGGCGTGACAGCTTTAGCTCAGCTCTTTGCTCTATACCCTCATAGAGCACGCTCTTTCAACCCATGACAGCACGCGTTATATCCGAAATTTATTATAAAACGTAATATTAAACAGAGAAATTATCGTTTTCATTCACCTAAATTTTTTTCTTTCCACAGTAATTAGGTTTGCGATGATACCTTTGCTTCGTGGTACATCGTTTCTTATTATTTGGTTGCTTACGAGGAATCATCAGGGTACCTCTGCTACACAAGGTTGGCTTACTTTTCTGATTTGTTTTCAGTTTCTACCAGTAACATTAAGGTTATTTTCTTATCACTATCCAAAGAAAATTTGTGCTAAGTGTTGAGCCACATATGTATCGCCATGTTAACTTTAGAGAGAACAGAAGAGCCTCTAAAACAAGTTTGCGAATCGAATTTTAAACAAATAAGATTGGAGGATTTAAAAATCGTGAAAATATTTCAAGATTCATATTGCTTTTGTCAAAGAAAAGATTTGGAAAAGATTCAAACATAAAGTGTGGGATTATTTACGAGGTTAGTTTTTCCTTTATATCCACTAATACTGCACCTCATCCGTTCACGGAAATCAACTCACACGGGTTTCTGAGATTTGACTCGAGCAAGTTTTGCCTATTTCTTTGAGAGTTGATGAAAAATCATTTGTTTAAACATGATCAAGCTAACGCTAACCAGCGGTATTTTTCTTAGTGAATGCACTACGGGCTTCGCGTTGTCTTTCCTCGAGTTTATGAAAAAGCATCTGTTTCCGTTGTCTTTTCTCAATAATCACACAAGTCACATCATTCATCGACTGATAGTTCTCGTTGAAATTAGAGGTAAGGAGGAAATCCAGAAAAGAAGAACTGAAAAAGTAGGAAATATGGATAAAATTAATTCACTTTTAACTTGATTATGCAATTAACCAATGCGGCTTAACACATAACATGACAGGAGTTATTGAAAACTGATGTCCACGGACGTGAACTATTTTAAATCATATTTTCCCTTCTTGTTTAAACCTTATTAATAGTATACAAAACACGTCCAATAGATTATTTGTTGTTCTTTTAGGTTGTGGTTCCTTGAGAAACAACTCACTACAGAGTCCTGGATATCCAAGCAAGTACCCAAGAAATATGAATTGTGTATATCAGATTGCCATTCCTCAAGGCATGGCTATGAGGATTTATTTCGAAAAGTTTGAGCTGGAGGATTCGTTGGAATGCCGGTTTGTAATGTTTTTACTCGTCTAGTTGATCGATATAACTTTATTTAGAACCAGGCACTTGATTCTTTCAAGTTTGACTCTTTTTATAGGAGCTACGACAAACAGTTAACGATTTGTGCCTCCGGAAACAGGCAATTTCGTTTCATGAGAATAGCAACGTTTTCCGAGGCACAGCAGAGGAAAACACTGAAATTTAAGAGAAAATTGCTATTTGTTGATTAGGTCAGACAAGGGGCATTTTCTCTTTCTCACACCTGAGGAGACTTTTGGTATTTAAAAAGGCCTGATTAGTTTGAACCTACACAGCTAAAAGTTGCGTAGCAACGAAAGGTTATGTTTAGATTCATAAACAGGAAACCGCAATTTCCCTCGAAAAATTAAAGATTAGGCTCAACTTCATTTTAAAGTTTTACAAAACTTCGAAAATAAACGTGAAATTAATCCTTAATTGCACATTCGTTGACGCAATTGCATCTACAAGTTGTCAATTAAATGGCGAATTAAATGTCAGCGCATAAGAGCGCAAGACGCTGCAATGCTGAAAATTTGTATTTTACTGTTTGTTTGTTTGTTGTCTTTTATAATCATTTGGTTTCTCAAGACCGGCAACTTCTTGTTGAGAAAAATCAACAAAACGTGATGCAATGTTGCCCTCACGGAGACTTTTAACCGGAAACAGTTTCATAATTTCATCGCATGTCCCCCACAGTATGCAATGAGGGCCTGCAATGAGGGCCTGCACTGATGGAATTCAATTTCAAGACTTGCATATTCTCATACATTCAACCGCAGACAGATCACACTATGTGATCGTGGTTAATAATTGTTGACGTGAGACGAACGAAATCTAATATGGTTATGGATAAAGCTCTGAAAACTGCGTATCTAAATTATATCTGAGTCCGAATATCTGAATAAAGTTAAATGAAATGTTCACAGACGAATTTATGATATTTTGTAGCCTTTATGGGCCGTTTGAAGCATCTTTTTACAAAATTACTTTTGGCCGGAGGCCGCTTGGAGAAGAAGGGGAGACAAGGCTTGCAACTTGATGGCCGCCAGTTATGACCTCCTCCACTCTTAACTGGAGCTAACGCCAAACTACAGAAAATATCTTCCAATTAGTAACGATTCTTGATCGATGAGGTGTTTTTCTATCTTTTCACCGAGTTTGAGCGTCATCCCTCCAACGTTTTCCAAGAAAATCGATCCTGAAATGAGGAGTATAGCCTTCTTTAATATGATCGGTGCCAAATTCAGCGATCAAAGGAATTTCAAGCATGCAGACCGTACCGATTCAGGTTACCAATCAGCGCTTGACTTGGTTTTGAACCGCGATGGGCTTTTACGGGAAGTTGCTGCATCAGGGCAACATCTCATCGATCAACAACCATCGCTAATTAGGAGAGATTTTCTGTGGTTTAAAATTAATTCCGGTAGGAGTGGAGGATGTCGTAGCTAACGGCCATCAAGTTGCAAGCCTTGTCTGCCCCTCCTCTCGCAACGTCCTCCGGTCGTAAACACATTCGTTAAAAGACGTTTGAAACGGCCCATGAAGGTGAAAAACATCAGTAATGGGATGATTAACATTTTATTTCACTTTATTGAAATATAAATATTGCATATCTAGATATGCAATTTTCAGAGCTATACTCATAACTGTCAAAGATTTGGAGAAACAAACCAGATTGCTGCACGTGTAGATATCCAATCGGATCTAAGGTTTCTTACATCTGGACAGCTGTTTCCGCGATTAGCGAGAGCAATGAACACGTCAAAATAATAGGCATATTTACAACATAAAAGTGTAGTAAACCTTACGGGGAGAAAATAACGAGTAACTCTTTAAAGTGTATCGTTTTACTTCTCCTTATCTTACAGTTTTGACTATGTAGAGATTTTTAACCAGAAGTACTGTGGAGAGAAGACTGGAACAAGGATGGAAATAAGAGGAGGCTACGCCGTAATAAAATTTCATTCAGCTTCAGATATTCAGAGAGGAAGATTCTCGCTACTGTTCACTTCTATCTTACCAAGTGTGTACAATGAGCTTTTATACTTTTTACTTATAATAAAACTAGTAATAGTTTTCATTATATATGCCTTGCTGGTAATGATATAATAACTTTTTATAGCCTTCTAGGAGTTTTTTTCGCCCGTGTGTCAGAAAATCGAGAAGGTATCATAGAATTCGCGTAAAGTCGTATCGGAAAATATCAAAATTTTGTTCTTAACTTAAGGCAACTAAAAGTTTCAGAGCTTCAATCTGTATATATCGAATATGGTGCCAACGACGAAAGGAGTCACATCACCAATTTCCCTCCCTTTTTCTCATAATTAGCTTTTGCTTTGTAAAGACCGACAATGTAGTATGTTTCCGCTGGAGGCTATCACAAGAAAGAAAGTTGGAATTACCGCAATTGAAAATCGAAGTGAGCTGCTCTGACCTTGCTTTGCGTTTAGAGACTGAAATTGGCAGAAAACACCGGGAACATAATCGGACGAGCAGTAATTTTTTATTTTACCCTTTAAATGCTCTAAATTCCCACTAAAAACTTATTCTAGTAACTGATTTAAGACTTATCTGGGATTTTACTATAGGAACTTTTGCCTATTTCTTTGAGGGTTAATAAAAATTATGGGTTTAAGTATGATCACGCCAGCATTAATCAGCGGTATTTTGCTTAGTGCATGCACCGCGGGCTCCGTGTTGTCTTACCTTGACTTTTATCAAAAGTCACACGAGTCACATCATCCATCGACTGATAGTTCTAGTTGAAAATAGGGGTAAGGAGGAAATCCTGAAAAGACGAGCCGAAAAAAGGAGAAAACTTTATTTATGATTGAGTTATTCACAATTTGGTTATGCAATTAACCAATGCAGCCCAGCACATAACATGGCAATAGTTGTCGACAACTGACGTCCACAGACATAAAGTCTTTTTAATCATATTTCCCCTTCTTGTTTAAACCTAATTAGTAGCATTCAAAATATGTCCAAGGGATTATTTGTTGTTCTTATAGGTTGTGGATCCTTGAGAAACAACTCACTACAGAGTCCTGGATATCCAGACAAGTACCCAACTAATATGGATTGTGGATATCAGATTGCCATTCCTCAAGGCATGGCTATGAGATTGTCTTTCGAATATTTTGAGTTGGAGGATTCATTGGCATGCAGGTTTGTAATGTTTTAACTCGTCTGGTTGATGCAACTTTATTTAAGGCCACTGGATTCTTTCAAGTTTGACTCTCTTATAGGAGCTATAGGAAACAGGTAATGATTGGTGCCTCCGGAAACAGCTCTTTCGTTTCCCGAGAATCGCAACGTTTTCCAAGGCAAATGAGAGGGAAATTCCATACTTGTTGATTGAATGAGACAAGGGGCATTTTTTCTTTATCACAAAGAAACTTTTGGTAATCAAGCAGGCTTGATGATTTTGATCCTAATTGGTGAAGAGTTGCGTAGCAACTAAAAGTCGATGCTTACATTCATAAACAGAAAACTGCTATTACCCTCGAAAAATTAAAGATTAGTCTCACTTGCATTTTCAAAGTTTTACAAGACTTTGACAATAAGCGTGAAAGTAATTCTGAATTGCCCATGGATCTACAAATTGTAAATTTTTTGGTGAACTAAATGTCAGCGCATAAGAGCGCAAGATACAACAATGCTGAAAATTTTTATAGTGCCAACCAAATCGGTCTAAAATTAAATCTCCAAACTTCAGAGAAAAAAAATTGGTAAATTCCTATAGTTACGCCTTTTTTTTTCCTGCACTGAGATAAAATTAACGAGGAGTTTGCTTAATTTGTCTGTTGAAACTTATCAAAATCTTTGTCTTTTCAGGATATCTTTTTTCACAGAAAGCTTTTGATAATTTTTGTATTTTAATGTTTGTTTGTTTGTTGTCTGATGTAATCTTTTGGTTTCTCAAGACCGCCAATTTCTTGTCAAAAAAAGACTTTTGCCTGAAAAAGTCTCATTGTGTCATTGCCGGCATATTACATTTCTAACTGGACCATACTCAATGCTCGAAGAAACAAACCAGATTACTTCACAACATTGAGCTGATCGAATCGGATTTAAGATTTCCCACATCTGGACAACGGTTTGTGCGATGACCCTAGGGCAAAACATCACGTCAAAATAATAGGGCATATTTAGAACATAAAACTGTAGTAAACCTGACGGAGGGAAAATAAAGAATTACTCTTTAAATAGTTTAGTCTTACTTGTCTCTATCTTACAGTTTTGACTATGTAGAGATTTTTAACCAGAAGTACTGTGGAGAGAAGACTGGAACAACAATTGAAATAAGTGGAGACTATGCCGTGATAAGATTTTATTCAGACTCAAGTGTTCAGAAAGGAGGATTCTCGCTGCTGTTCTCTACTATCTCACCAAGTGTGTACAACGGACTTTATCCTATTTTATCATAATAAAAGTAACAATAAATATCTGCCCCTGCCAGGCAACGATATGATTTTTTATTGCCTCCATAGGGTGTCTGGCATAGATGCCAGAAAACCGAGGAGGCATCATAGAAGTCGCCTATAATCATATCGGGAAATTTCTAAAGTTTTGTGCGCTTACTGGTATTGAGTAAATTCTTGTTAGGATCACTATGTTTTGTGGGAAATTGTTTCAACCACGATGTCTCTGCGCTTCCTTCGAGTCGCTTTTAGATAGTTTGCAGAGGTGAATATTATCCTTTCATGTATCATCTTTAATGCAAAAGTCATTTAACATTACCACTTGTAGAATTATGAAAGACCATCCAATGACATGAGAAAATTTCCTTTAAACCTGTCCGAGTTTATTTCTATGATAAAAATCTTTTATCATTAAAATGCAAGGACAGATGTGGTGGGAACTTTAACTAGTTGTAGAAGAAATTCTAACAGGTTTGTAGGTGATTTTTTCATGTAGCTTGGAGTTAACGATGAAATGTTATAAAATAGCTGTGCAGTAACAGAAAAGCTTTCCAGGTGATCTTAAGTAATTTTGGCAGGCGTGAGGTTACTGCTTTTGCTTTGGAAGTCGAAGAAGCCCCCGAAAGTACTAAGGAATCTTGCTTGTCTTCAATAAAAGAATGATCAGTCAGCATTTACATGTTTTATTATTATTGGTTTTTTTAAATCCAGAGCGGAGTCGTGACTAGAAACATTCAGGGGCGGTTATTTACATGAGGTCTAACCCAAAGTACGGTTTTACGCAATCAATGAGCCTCAGGCCCTCTCTATATGAAGGTTTATTTAATTTAAATGACATTTCGCTGTTAGCTTTCGGTTCTCTTGACACTGTTCGCAAAAAAAATGTTCACATAAAAGGTTCAGAAACATTGAGGATATAATGAATTCCATTGGGATGTCTTCTCGCTGTCTCTAACACCAGCGACATATGGCTTGTAAAAAAAAGAAGAAGAAGAAGAAGAAGTACCTTCATTGACCTCCTTGGAACACTGATGCTCTCATTGATGATTGTGTCTGATCCCCACTCTTCTGAGATTGTCTTGAGATGAATGACGTGCTTGCACATGAGTCTCTTTCCATTTTCGTAGTCAGACAAGGCCTGATTAATTAATCTATAACTTGATTATGCAATTAACCAATGCGGCTTAAGATATAACATGACAGTGGTTGTTGACAACTGATGTCCACAGACGTGAACTATCTTTTGTCATATTCTCCCTTCTTGTTTAAGCCTTTTTATTAGTATTCAAAACATGTCCAAGAAATTATTTGTTGTTCTTATAGGTTGTGGTTCCTTGAGAAACAACTCACTACAGAGTCCTGGATATCCGAACAAGTACCCAAATATGGATTGTGTATATCAGATTGCCATTCCTCAAGGCATGGCTATAAGGATGCATTTCGAATATTTTGAGCTGGAGGATTCGTGGGAATGCCGGTTTGTAATGTTTTGACTTGTCTGGTTGATCGATATAACTTTATTTAGTACCACTTCACTCTTTTAAGTTTGACTCTTTTTATAGGAGCTATAACAAACAGTTAACGATTTGTGCTTACGGAAACAAGCAGTTTCGTTTCCCGAAAATCTCAACGTTTTTCTAGGGCAGAATAGAGAGAAGCATTGAAATTTAAAGGAATATTACTATTTTGATTGGGTGGGTAGCAACGAATGGTTGATGTTTTGATTAATAAACAGGAAACCGCAATTGCCCTCGACAAATTAAAGGTTAGTCTCAATTGCATTTTTAAAGTTTTACAAAACTTCGAATATAAGCCTGAAATTAATCCTTCATTGCACATAGGCCCAATGAATTGCATCTAGAGATTGGAAATCCATTAGTGAATGAAATGTCAGCGCAAAAGAGCACAATATACTACAATGCTGAAAATGTTTATAATGCTAACCATATGCTAAAATTTAATGTCCAAAAAAACACAAAAAAGTTGATTAACATTTTATTCAACTTTATTAAGATATTCAGAGCAAGAGGTAGTCTGCAATTTTCAGAGCTTTATTCGTAACCCTCAAAAGTTTTGTTCGTCTCATGGCAACAGTTGCTAACCACGAACACATAGTGTGGTCTGCCTGTGATTCAACCTCGATTTCTCAATCAATTTTCATGTTATCGACACTTCACCTTAGTTCGTCATTTCCTCTACCTTGTTTGTCTACAATAACAAACAAAGAGGGAAATTTTTTCGAAATGTCTTTTTCAAAACTGTTACTCACATTTTCAACTGGATCATACACAAGGTTCGGAGAAACAAACCAGATTGCTGCACAACGTGTAGCCATCCAATTGGATCTAAGGTTTCTTACATCTGGACTAGTGCTATACGATTACCTAAGGCAAATGAACTCGTCAAAATAATACGACATGTATTTAGAACATGAGAGTGTAGTAAACCTTACGGGGAGAAAACAACGAATAACTATTTAAAGTGTATCGTTTTACTTGTCTCTCTCTTACAGTTTTGACTATGTAGAGATTTTTAACCAGAAATACTGTGGAAAGATGACTGGAACAACAATTGAAATAAGTGGAGACTATGCCGTGATAAGATTTCATTCAGACTCAAGTGTTCAGGGAGGATTCTCGCTGCTGTTCTCTACTGTGTTATCAAGTGTGTAAAATGAGCTTATACTTTTTAATTATAATAAAACTAAATATAATTCTCGATATATCTGCTCTAACTGATAATGATATAGAAACTTTTTAGAGCCTTCGAGGGGTTTTCCTGCCAAAATGCCAGAAAACTAAGAAGGTATCATAGAAGTCGCGTATAGTTGTATTGGGAAATATCCAACTTTTTTTCTCAACTCAAGACAACTAAAAGTTTCAGAGCCTCAATCTGCATATATCGAATATGGTGTCATCGACGATAGGAGTCGCATCACAAATTTCTCTCCTTTTTTTTGCTCATAATTATCTATTTATTTTGTAAAGACCGACAATGTGGTATGTTTCCACTGGAAACTTTGCTATCGCAAGAAAGAAATTTAAAATTACCGCAAGTCAAAATTAAAGTGAGCTGCTCTGACCTTCTTTTGCGTTTAGAGACTGAAACTGGCAGAAAACGCTGGGAACATAATCGGACGAGCAGTAATTTGTTAAAATTCCCTTTAAAAATCTGAATCAAATGTCCCTTATTGCAAAATGCTCCGAATCCCCACCAATAACTTATTCTAGTTACTGATTTTAGACTTATCTGAGATTTTGCTAGAGGAATTTTTGCCTATTTCTTTAAGAGATGATAAAAATTATTTGTTTAAGTACGATCAAGCCAGCAATAACCTGCGGTATTTTGCTTAGTGTATGCACAGCGGGCTCCGTGTTATTTTTCATCGAGTTTGTGAACAAGCATCTTTTCCATTGCCTTTTACCAAAAGTCACACGAGTCACATCATCCATCGACTGATAGTTCTGGTTGAAAGTAGGGGTAAGGAGAAATCCAGAAAGGACGAGCCGAAAAAAGTAGAAAACTTGGATAAAATTCATTATTCATAACTTGATTATGCAATTAACTAATGCGGCTCAACACATAACATGGCAGTAGTTTTTGACATCTGATGTCCACAGACATAAACTCTTTTTAATCATATTTTCACTTCTTGTATATTATTTCACTTTTTAGTAGCATTCAAAACATTTCCAAGGGATTATTTGTTTTTCTTATAGGTTGTGGTTCCTTGAAAAACAATTCACTACAGAGTCCTGGATATCCAAACAAGTACCCAAGAAATATGGATTGTGTATATCAGATTGTCATTCCTCAAGGCATGGCTACAAGAATGTATTTCGAATATTTTGAGCTGGAGGATTCGTGGGAATGCCGGTTTGTAACGTTTTGACCTATCTGATTGATCGAAGTAACTTTATTTAGTACCACTCGACTCTTTCAAGTTTGACTCTTTTTACAGGAGCTGTAACAAACAGTTAACGATTTATGCCTCCCGAAACAAGTAATCTCGTTTCCCGAGAATCTCAATGTTTTTCTAAGGCGGAGCAGAGGAAAACATTGAAATTTAAGATAAAACTCCTATTTGTCGATTGCGTGAGACAGACTTTTGGTAATCAAAAAGGTCTGATTAATTTAATCTTAATTGGTGAAGAGTTTGGTAGCCACGAAAGGTTGAAACTGTTCTTCACATTTCAAACTGGACCATACGCAAGGTTCGGATTTAAGATTTCCCACATTTAAGCAACTGTTTGTGCAATTACTGAGGGCATAATAGGGCATATTTAGAACATGAAAGTGTCGTAAATTTGACGGGGAGAAAACAACGAATAACTATTTAAAGTGTATCGTTTTACTTGTTTCTCTCTTACAGTTTTGATTATGTAGAGATTTTTAACCAGAAGTACTGTGGAGAGAAGACTGGAACAACAATTGAAATTAGTGGAGACTACGCCGTGATAAGATTTCATTCAGACTCAATTGTTCAGGGAGGGGGATTCTCGCTGCTGTTCACTACTGTGTTACCAAGTGTGTAAAATGAACTTTTTATATTTTTTAATTATAATAAAATAAGTTATAAATATATGTCCCTGCCTGTATTGATATTATTTTTTCAAGGCCCTCGATGCCAGAAAAACGAGGAGGCATCATAATTGTCGCCTATAGTCGTATCGGGATAATATTTAAATTTTGCGCGCTTACTGGTAACGGGTAGATTCCTATGAGGATATCGTTAGGTGTTATGGGAAATTTTTTCAACCGCAATGTTTCTGCGCTTCCTTTTGTGTCGCAGGTGAATATTATCCTTTCAGGTATCACCTTGAATGGAAAAGTCGTTTAACACTCTCACTTCTAAAATTATGTATCAGACCATACAATACGCGATATGAAAAATTTCTTTCAAAACCTGTCCAGCTGCTTTTGCTTTAGAAGTCGAAGAGGCCTCCGGAAGTACCAATCAATCTTGCTCGCCTCCGAAGCATTTGCATTCATAAAAGCATGATCAGTCAGTATAAGATGACGTAATTTTTTTCAATCCAGTGCCTCAGGCTTTCTCTTAAAGAGGGTTGATTCAATTAAATAAATTTCCTTTCACTGTTGGCTTTTAGGGCTCCTATTGATAACAGATATGCTTTTAAGTATTCTGAAGGGATTACCTTGTTAAATAAAGGTTTGCTACTGCTACTACTTTCGGTTCAGTCGACACTGTTCGCAAAAATAAATGTCACACATGCCATTAGCAACAGACGGCAATTCTCATAAAAGATGCTCTTGCAGATATTATGTTAAATTGGTTTGCATGTTTTGCCTCTCCATTGAAAAGAAACATTGACCTCTACGCAACAGTTATTCAGAAGCATCGAATTTTACTATTGTTGCACTGCGATATGTATGATTGTGGATTAGACGCATTTATTTTCTTCTTTCCTTGTTGTTACATACAGGATATGGGTTTATCTATCGGAAAAGAGAAAAACAAACTATTCTCAGGCCTCTGAAGTTAATCAAACACACTTTCAGCCCAGTAATGGATGTGGGTTAATTAAATACAAAGAATGCTTATCCTTTTAACTGGTTATCATAATAATTAATTTTTTCAAAGAACTGTCATTGCGCCTCGCAGATTATTGGGTTAGGTGTGTCGTTCTCGTTCATGATTTGTGTTTGACAAATGAAAGTAATAATAATGATAATATTGATAACAACCATAATGATAATAACAATAACAATGATAATCGTAATAATAATAATAATAATAATAAAATGGCGCTATATCTGATAGCTCATGCGGACACTTTACAACACTTTTCAGGGGACTTTGGCTAAACTGCATCGAGCAGTTAACAATATTTTTCTCTTGAGAATTCCCCCAATTTCGAAATATTTTTTGAATAATGTCCTTTATCGAAAAGAGTCTATCCAGTACAGTTTAATGAGTTTTTCTTCCAAAGAGATCAATGTCATGAAAGATATTCGCCTCTATAAATTCTGTAGGAGCAACACTAAGCGAAGCGTAGACAAGTCGTGGTTAAAAAAATTACCCATAACACATTGCGATCCTCTTAAGTCAATATCCGATACTACTAAGCGTGCATAACTGACGCAGAGTCGATCGATACGGTTTAGATTGCCTAGTATGTTTAAACCAGGATAGTTTTTCCCACTGAATGAACATTCTGGTAACTACTATGATGCGTTCTTGGAAATCTGGCCTCTGAATTAGACGCCCTGTGGGGGCTTTTAAGGAACTAGAGGGTGTACCAGTACTAATAATTTTAGTCCAATTGGCTCATAACCATGTCTCATCCCCCCTTACAGTGTAATTGGTTAGTTGTAATTGCATTAAGTCATTTCTATTCAAGGTCCTCCCAATATTTCAATGCCAGTTCTCGTGGAGGCCTCTCCAGGCGACGAGGTGACGTGCTTAGTGACAGGAAGTCATCCTATGTACACCACCATACTCAGCGACTCAAGAGTTCTGGTTAACACAACAAGCATGGCAACCTTTCGGTTTGGGGAGGAAGGAAACTACACCTGCATGGCAAGCAGCAAGTATGGGACTGATTTAAAAATGTTCAGTGTGATTTTCCCAGGTAGGCCTTAAACTGATGGTTAAACTTTTTCAATTTGCTTCACTTTAGTTAATAGATTGCCAGGGGAAACCAATGGTAGCTATTCGTTTAAAACAAGAATTTAATACAGTGATATGAATGATATGATAAGATTAATGACATAATCCGTAAACGTTCTGTTAAAAGTAAAAATCGAATGATTACATAAATGTTCTACAGTGGTGGTTTCTTGTATCTATCTTCGCATTCCCTTCAAACCCGAGATAAAATGTCAATATTTCCTTATCTAACCTTGCTGCCAGACCTCAAAGGGTTTAAAGGTAAGAGGGTTTGTAAACTTAGTGAGTTTTTCCTGTACGTGCCTCCTCTAAGACTTTTGAATGTACCGTAATAGAATCATATCTTGCTGGAGTCCGGCGGCTACGCATAATACGTTCATGATACCATATTTTCCCAGGCTACATTTAGCAGTTTCTTTTGTTGCTGCGGACTGGACGATTGGCTAGACGATCAAGTTGCTATCATTGAGTTACGTGGCTCTTGAGGCCCAAAAGAAATTCTCAAGCGGAGAAATCGGGTTTTTCTTGGTAACAATTCTTCCTTAATTTGAAATCTCGGGCTACCGGCTTTTCGAAAAAAGTGCGTAACAACGGCGGGGTTGCAGTGTATGTACGAAACGATCTTTCCGTGAGAAGAGGGGACGACCTTGGATAATGTCGAGGGGATATTGTTGAAAATTTTGGGGCCGAAATCACGTAGTATTTTTGTGGGTAATTTCTAGCTACGCAACCGTACATCTTAGTGATTAAAGGGAGTAAGTTTCTAAAGAAACTGTGGTGCTGCATTGGTGGGGAGTATAACAAGATAATTTGGATTTATCAAATGAGTTGATAATGTAACTTTGCCACCGTACGCTGTTTCTAAGCTGACGTATCGAGCGTTAGCCCTTCGTCAGAGCGAACGACAAAAGGCCAACGTTCGAAACGTTTGCTTAGAAGCTCTCTACGTACATATAAATACTACTTTAAGCTGAACAACATTTTGATACTGCTACTGCCTACGACAAAGAGATTGCAGTGAATCGTCCTTATATATTCTAAGGACGATTCACTGTAATTACGTCGATGAATCGCCCTCAGAATATCTGTTATTTGTTTAAATGTGATTAAGCCAGCACTGACTGGCGGTAATTTGCCTAGTGTATGCACTGCGGGCTTTGCGTTGTCTTTCCTCGAGTTTGTCAACAAGCGTCTGTTTCCATTGCCTTTAATCAAAAGTCACATGTGTCAAACCACTCATCGACTGATAGTTCTAGTTGAAATCACGGGTGAGGAGGAAATCCAGAAAGGACGGGCTGAAAAAGTAGGAAAGATGGATAAAATTAATTCATTTATAACTTGATTATGCAATTAACCAATGCGGCTTAAGATATAACATGACACTGGTTGTTGACTACTGATGTCAAAAGACATGAACTATCTTTAATCATAAATTCCCCTCTTGTTTAAGCCTTATTAGTAGCATTCAAAACATGTCCAAGAGATTATTTCTTGTTCTTATAGGTTGTGGTTCCTTGAGAAACAACTCACTACAGAGTCCTGGATATCCAAACAAGTACCCAATTAATATGGATTGTGTATATCAGATTGCTATTCCTCAAGGCATGGCTATGAGAATGCATTTCGAATATTTTGAGCTGGAGGATTCGTTTGAATGCAGGTTTTTAATGTTTTAACTCGTCTGGTTGATGTAACTTTATTTAGGACCACTCAACTCTTTCAAGTCTGACTCTTTTTAGCTATAAGAAACAGTTAACGATTGGTGCCTCCGGGAACAAGAAACTTAGTTCCCCGATAATCTCTACGTTTTCCAAGGTGGAGAAGAGAGAAACATCGAAATTTAAGGCAAAATTACTACTTATTGATTGCGTGAGACAGGGGCATTTTAATATTATCATAAGGAGACTTTTGTTAATCATGAAGACTGGATTAATTTGATTCTTATTGATGAAAAAATACTTAGCAACAGAAGGTTGATGTTGATATTCATATCGTAAACATGAAACTGCTAGAGCCCTCGAAAAATGAAAGGTTAGTCCCACTTCTTTAAAAAGTTTTACAAAACTTGGAAATAAGCGTGAAATTAATCCTCAGTTGCCTATGGGCTCACGCAATTACATCTACATATCGAAACTGAATTTATTGGTGAATTACATGTTATCGCATAAGAGCGCAAAATACTTCCATGCCGAAATTTTCATAATGCTAACCAAAGCGGTTCAACCTCAATTTTTCAATCAATTTTCATGTTATCCACACTTCACCTTAGTTCGCCATTTCCTCTACCTTGTTTTTCCACATCACAAAACAAAGGGGGAAATTTTTTCGAAATGTCTTTTTCAAAACTGTTACTCACATTTCCAACTGGACCATACGCAAGGTTTGTAGAAACAAACCAAATTGCTGCACAAACCGTAGCTATCCAATCAGATTTCATAATTCCCATATCTGGACAACTGTTTGGGCCATTAACGAGGATAAAAGAACTCGTCAAAGTAATAGGGAATATTTAAAACGTTAATATTTAAAATAACGATCATTTTAACTTGTCTCTATCTTACAGTTTTGACTATGTAGAGATTTCTAATTATAAGTACTGTGGAGAGATGACTGGAACAACAATTGAAATAACTGGATACAACGCCGTGATAACATTTTATTCAGACTTCGGTGTTCAGGAGGGAGGATTCTCGCTTCTGTTCAATACTGTCTTACCAAGTGTGTAAAATGAACTTTTGTCCTTTTTAGTCATAATAAAACTAGTAGTAGTTTTCTTTATATCTACCCCCGTTTATTAATAATATAAATTTTTATTGCCTCCTTCGGAGGTAATAAAAATTCTGGCCCAGACACCAGAGAACTGAGGAGACATCGTAGTAGCCGCGTATAGTCTTATATATCCACTGAAATTTTGCGCGCTTACTGGTACCGGGTAAATTCTCATTAGGATCGTTAGGTGTTATGGGTAAGTTTTCCAACCACGATGTCTCTTTGGTTTCTTTCGTGTCGCTTTAAGATTATTTGCAGAGGTGAATATTGTCTTTACATCATCTTAAATGAAAAAGTCATTTAACACTACCACTTCTAGAATTATGTAAGATCACCCAATATGCTACATGACAGGATTTCCTTCAAACCTGTCCGAATTATTTCTACAATCAAAAATTTATATCATTAAATTGCGAGGAAAGATGTGGTGTGAACTTGGAGGTAACGATGAAATGTATCAAATAACTGTACAGTAACAAAACAGCTTTTCAGTTGTTCTTGGGTAATTTTGGCAGGCGTGACGTAGCTGCTTTTGCTTTAGAAGTCGAAGAAGCCCCCGAAAGTAACAGACAATCTTGTTTGTCTTCGGAGCATTTGTATTGATAAAATAATGGCCATTCAATATTTGAATAATTTTTATTTTTTTAATCCAGTGCGGAGACATGATTGGAAGCATTTAGGGGCGGTTATTTACGTCGGGTCCAACCCAAACCACGCTTTTAAGCAATCATTGAGCCTCAAGCTCTCTCTATAAGAAGGTTGATTTAATTAAATAAATGTTCTTCCACTGTAAGCTTTCGGCTTTCTTGACACTGTTCGCAAAAATAAACGTTCAGATAAAAGGTTCAGCTAAATTGAGGATTTTCTTGAACGCGGTTTTGTTAAACAGTGGCTAAACGTTGTTTAACAAATCGGCCTTTAGTGTCCAGTTTCATGTTTGTTATCATAAATACCACTAGCAACAGGTGGTAACTCATCATAGTTGCTCTTCTGCATATGTTGTTGAATTGGTTTGCATGTCTTGCCTCTCAATTGAAAAGAAGCATTGACCGCTACGGGACAGTTTTTCAGAAGCATCAACTGTTACACTGCAATATGTATGATTACTGATTAGACGCTTTTAATTTCTACATTCCCTGTTGTTGCATACAGGATAGGTGTTTATCTATCTGAAAAACAACCGAATATTTTCAGGCCTTTTAAATGAATCACTTTATAAAATAAGTCCCTTAAAACAAACTTTTTCAGCTTAGAAATGGATGTGGGTTTACTAAATATCGCACAAGGAATGCTTATCCTTATAAATGGTTATTATCATAATTATAATATTTTTGAGAAGAATTGTAACTGCGAAGACTATTGGGTCAGGTCTGGACAAATGATAGTAACAATAACAATAACAATAACAATAATGTTGATGATGATATGATAATAATAATAATAATAATAATAATAATAATAATAGTAATAGTAATAGTAATAGTAATAATAATAGTAAAATAGCGCCATATCTATCAGCTCATAAAACTTTCGAGGGACTTTGGCTAGACTGCATTTTTTGATGAAAATTCTTGCGGACGCCCCCAATTTCGGAATGTTTTGTTTAAATAAAGTTCTTTATCGAAAAAATCTATCCTGTACAACTTAATGAGTTTTGCTTCAAAAGAGCAATGTAGTATAAAATATTCATTTCTATAAATTCTGTAAGAGCAACACGAAGCGCAGACACTTCGTGGCTACAAAATTAACCATAACAGATTGCCATCCTCTTAAGCAAAAACCCGATACCGCTAGGGTTTGGTTAGTTTTAATTACATTAAATCATTTCTATTCAAAGTCCTCCCAATATTTCAATGCCGGTTTTTATGGAAGCCTTTCCAGGCGCACAGGTGACGTGCTCAGTGACAGGAAGTCATCCTATGTACACCACGATACTCAGTGACTCAAGAGTTCTGGTTAACACAACAAGCATGGCAACCTTTTGGTTTGAGGAGGAAGGAAACTACACCTGCATGGTAAGCAGCAAGTATGGGACTGATTTAAAAATGTTCAGTGTGATTTTTCCAGATAGGCCCTAAACCGATAATTATACTTATTCAATTTGCTTCACTTCAGTTAATAGATTACCTGAGAAAACCAACGGTAGTTATTCGTTTCAAACTAAAATTTAATTCAATAATATGAATGATATGATAAGACTAATGACATAATTTGGTAACGTTCTGTTAAAAAGTAAAAATTGAATGATTAAATAAATGCTCTACAGTGGCGTTGTCTTGTATCTATCTTCGCATTCCCTTCAAACCCGAGATAAAATGTCAATATTTCCTTATCTAACCTCGCTGCGAGACTTCAAAGGATTTTAAGGGTAAGAGGGTTTGTAAACTTAGTGAGGTTTTATAGTAGGTGCCAAGTCCTCCGCCACCAATTGGTTTTGACTTCAAATATACCACAGGAGAAGTATATCATGCAGGAGTGCGGCGGCTACATTTAGCAGTTTCTTTTGTAGTTACGTACCAGACGCTTGGCTAGACCATCAAGTTATTATTTTAAGTTGCGTGTCTCTTTTGGCCGAAAAAAATTCTGAAGCTTAGAAATCGAGTTTTTCTTATAAGAAATTCTTTCTTAGTTTAAAATCTCGGCTTAACGACTTTTCAGAAGATCAAAAAGGGTAGCAACGGCGGAGTCGCAATGTATGTACGGAAATGTCTTGCCACGACCGTGACAAGAAGGGACGACCTTGGATAATGTCGAGGGGGTATTGTTGGAAATTTCAGAGTCGAAAATCACGTAGTATTATTGTGGGTAATTTTTACAGACGAGACCGTACATCTTAAGGACTAAAGGGGGTAAGTTTCTAAAGAAACTGTGGTGCTGCGTCGGTGGGGGAGTATAACTAGATAGTTTTGTTTTATCAACGGAGTTAATAATGTACATTTGCCACCATTAAGTGTTTCTAAGCTGAAGTATTGAGCGTTAGCCCTTCGTCAGAGCGAATGACAAAGAGCTAACGCTCGAAATTTCAGCTTTGAAGCTCTTTACGTACATCTTAATACTACTTCAAGGATTTTTAACTTAACAACATTTTGATACTGCTTTTGCCGACGACAAAAAGATTCTTCTTTTGCTCGATTTTAACTGCTGTTCGATGTCCGCTCAGGGTAACAAATCCGAATATTAACAACTTAAATCGCTCTTCAACAGTTCAGTTTGAGTCACCAAGCACTCAAAGGACCAGTTATTTAGAGGAAATGTAACCCAAACCACGGCTTTACGCGATAAGTGGGCCTTGGTCTTTCTCTATTAGAGAATTACTTTATTCAAATTGATTTTCCTACACTGTTAGCTTTTAGCCCTCTTGACGCTGGTTATTTAAACAAAGCTCAGCTTTGTTTAAATAACCAGCCGGTCCAAATTTTTCATCGATTTGATTGCAGTTAATCGTCCTCAGAGCATCTGTAAATTTTGCGGAGACTCGACCTATTTTAGTGATCATGAACTCGTTTAAAACCCAACTGAAAGAAAGCTCCTGCAATCTGAAAACTTTCAGGAACTAGGCCAATCATAATCTGTGTGAGTTTTCAAGGACCTTGAAGGTGGTACCTGGAACTCTTTTTCTACTCCCGTTGGTTTAAATGAGATTTGGAGTAGTTTTAAACGAGCGTTTGTCACAGTGGTGACTTGCACCACCTATACTGAAACGTGTGCAGGGCGTGGACAACTGTCTTTGGATAAGCAAGGGTATCAAAGTTGATGAGGAGTGGTGCCGATCTTAGAGCTCTGCGTAAAACCATCGAGGAGTTCCTTCCTGAGGGGATTAAGGCGGCCTCCCCTAGTATTAGCGTCAATGGAACTGTGTCTTCTGAAGAGAGGTGTATAAAAAATGCTCTCAACGAGTTCTTCGCCACTGCATCCAAAAATACTGAGTCTAAATCAGTGAAGTGTCTGACGACATTTGACCTGACTCTTTTTAGTTCGCTGGAGAATTTTTGAATGTTACAGGTCGCAAGACACTGAAAAATTTATTCATGACCTATCACGTAACCAACTTTGATAGGTATCCTATTTCATCGGTAGTAGTCCGGTTTTTTTCCAGCCTGAGAAATTATTCCGTTTCCTCGTTTATAAAACTTTATTTCTACCTCGGTGGACGTTAAATGGAAGTCAAAAATATCTGATAGGGACTGGTTTTTGGCCGGATAATAAGCAGCAATAAACAAATAACGGGCACCTGCTTCAGCCCCCCCAGTCACCCACCCTCCATTATCATTGTGTGCGTTATGGACGAAAAAAATCCTAACTTTCAGTTAACTGAGGTTGTAGAGTTTTAAAAATTGTACTGAACTTGGTCTGCTAGTGAGGTGGCTTAGCGTAATATTCCTTTGGCCAGCTAAGGCTTCATAACTTTGAATAATTGAATTTAGTTTGTATTTGCATTTGCCACTTTGCTCTCTCACTCGTTGCTTGGCTTTGTTTTCGGCCGCTATTTATTGAGAGTATCGTAAAGAAGAATTCCTTTGGTTTTTCTGTTTACTCTTTTTACAGATTGCGGATCCACTTGTTCTTTCAGGGCTTCATGGTCTGGAAAAAGGATTGCTAACTGCATCAATGTGACGGGCCTAATTCTTACAGAATGCCTTCCAGCAACAACTGAAATACTGTAACACAATTTCACGAGATTTCCACCACAATTGATCATAGTTGTCTTCCTTGCTGTTTTTCGCGATCGAGAATTCGGATTTTCTCTACCTTGTTGATTTTGATTCTCTTTTGTATATTTTTGACAGCCTTGTGCGTTAACGAAAGTGCGCTCACTACACTATAAAACCTGGTAAACGAGTTCTGTGGCTTTTATGACGTAACCCTTTTTAACGCTTGAATATGTTGCGCGAATTTAAGAATAAGTCTTCATTGATTTGAGTACGAGGTAGGTTACAAGCGTAATACGCTTGTCTCTGTTGCGAGCTTGTAGCGATCTGTTCCGTTCATGGCTTGAAGTACGTTGCTCATCTCAGTTGTCTTACAATACGTGTGCTGCAATTGTTTGCGTTGGGCTCTTGTAATCTGTTTTATGATTAAACTTCTAGTAGTCTAGTTCCAGCTAGACTGCCAGCTATTTTACTGACGATTAGATCCTCTCAAACTCCATCGGAGGGTAGTCTGCGCTCTCAAATCTTTACTTTCGGTTAGTGAGAACCTAATTTTACCTCAGTATTCCATCACGATAATGTCATCTTGTCGGATGTAGTTTTTTTTTTCTCCGATATTCATCATATTTGCCGTTGGAGCTAACAACATAGTTATTTAGATGCACTTTTTAATATTTGTTTTGCTATTTTTCAATGTTTCGGATAAACGATCGCCTTAAGCCAAAATAAATTTGGCTATGGGACTCAATAAAAAAGGGTGAATTTTCACATATATTGGCGGAAGCCAGGGATCAGTGAAAGAAGTTATGAAGCTTACGAATCGAAAAGAAAAAATTCTAATCAATCGAAAGGAACCTTCATTGTGTTTATAATCCTCTAGTTTTGGGCTGAATCTAGAGTACTGAGTAAGCATTTTTTATAAAGGCTTCACCGAATGCATTTTGAATGATTGCCACACATGAAAAAACTTCTTTCTTGAGCGAGGAGTAGGCAAAAAGCCACCTCTATGAGATGCTTTTTTCAATAGCCATGGAAATTTTAAATAGAAATGTTAGAAATAAAGATAACAAAGCAGATAAATATCGCAATAAGCGAAAAGTGAGATGGCTATCCTTGTCAATATTATCTCCGAACGTTGCTATTATGTCAAGGAATTGCTACCGATTTGATAGATACACGGAGCTAACAAATGATAGATTGAGTTCGCAGTGCTATGGCTTGGCCTAATGAGACATTTATTTTAGATTTTTAGTTCAAATACGAGATGGACCTGTGTGCACTTTGAGTATGCATACCTCGAGCAGAAAAATGCTAAAGATTCTACGCCTCTATTACAAATTCACAGATGCTTATTTTTTTATTTCTTAGATTTTTAGTTCAAATACGAGATGGACCTGTGTGCGCTTTGAGTATGCATATCTCGGGCAGAAAAATGCTAAAGATTCTACGCCTCTATTACAAATTCACAGATGCTTATTTTTCCAATTAAGTATGAAGGTGCGGTGTATCTATGTGGATGAACTCTTTGATGGGAAGTAGCTCAGATGCTAACAAAAACTATCGTAGACGTTAAAAATTCTCGATCGAACTCAACTGAATGACAAGAACTGGCTAATGAAATAAACGCAAATTACTGTTACATAATAGAGTAAAATACAGTCGGCAATATATTGGAGCATAGAAACTTTTTCTATTGGATGGCAAAATTACAGATGATCTTGAATTCCTTGGCTCAAAGTGGCTTCTCTCATTTCTGGAAAAATGAACTTCGTCAAACCATTTAAAAAAACCTTTTAAAGTAATTTTCGTTCGTAGTTTCCAGGAAAGACTACCTCACTTCATTGAAGAAGTGAACACAAAGATTTTCGACTTCCGATGTTACTAAAAGCGGGAATGGAAAACGTAGAATAAGGAATAGGGAATAGGGAATGGGGAATGGAAAAAATGAAATGGGAAATTGAAAATGAGAAATTAATTAATTTTCTTTTGTTCTAGATTTACTGTTTACAATAAGGGACAGATATTTTGATCGATATCCACGGTCTCTTTCACAAACGTTCAGGGGCTAAATTCAATGAACGTAATAAATTGCTGATAAGAAAGAAGTGATTTTCGAGGAACAGATAATGTCTAAGGACAAATATACGAGCATATTTTCGCGCAAAATAGAGGCTATTGTGTTTTCTCATCCTTTACACATTTCGCGCTTGGCAATAATTTTGTGTTTTTGTTAAGAAGATTACAAGTCGGGATACACCATAGCACTTTCCTTTTATCTCGCACACTCGTCTCTACTAAATTTCATTGGAACTAGGTATAACATTTGCCCACATTTAACCATCCTTGTTCCCACAAAACTGTGAAACACTTTGTTTCTTTTTCACTTCTCTAAGACATCAAATAGCTTCCTACGATAACAAGCTTTATTATATACTCAACAAAATATCGCGTTTCAGATTGGTCAATGATGAATGCATAAATAGGTTATAGAGTGCAATAGAGGTTATAGAGTGCAATACGGAGAAGTTGCCATGGAAACACCGGGGAAGCGCCAAATTTGAACACCAAATTATAAAAAAATGGCTGACAGCCGGTTTGCTTTGTCAAACCAAAACATCGTTGAGCAACTTAAAGAAAATGCGAAAAACAAAAACACGTTGAAAGCTACACAGACCTTAAATGAGGTTAAATGTCTGGCAAACATGGGCGACTCAACGAAAAGTAAACCCAAAAATGGAAGAATACGAGCACGAACAACTCGATAAAATGTTGCAAATCTTCTATACAGAAATACGCACAAAAGACGGGTGTGAGTACGAACCTGAGAGTTTAAAATCCATGCTGGCAGCCCTCGACCGCTATTTAAAAGAGCATGACTACAAGTACTCTATTATACGAGACCGAGAGTTTCACCAGTCGAAGTTGGTACTCGAAGGAAAAGTGAAGTGTCTCCGTCAACAAGGAAAAGGCAAGAGACCCAACGCCGCGAACGCACTGACAGCCGAAGAAGAAAAAAATGCTATGGAGTGGATAAAGTCTCGGCGACTGCAGTCCAAGAGTTCTTTCCCAGACTATGTGGTGGATCTTGACTCAACATTTTGGCCTGAGGGGAAGACAGGAACACCATTCAATGGAAGTCGAGAACTTCAGTTTTTGTGTGGACGACAGCGGCACAGAGTACGTCACATTGAAAGAAAATCCTACAAAGACGAGGCAGAGAGGACTGAACACAAAACATCGTAGTGTTCTGCCAAAAATGTTCGCTACTGGCGTTCAGAGATGTCCTGTTGAGTTACTGAAGCAATACCTTAGTAGGCGTCCTCAAGAGCTGCGCGACAAAGGTCCTTTTTACCTTACCATAATCGAAAATCCCAAAACAAATGTTTGGTACAAGAAGCAGCGGCTCGGCGTAAACAGCATCGACAATATGATGAAGAGCGTCGTCAAGAACACAGCTCTGGAAACAAGCAAGAAGAAATTGACTAACCACAACGCAAGGAAGACAGTTGTGAAGAAACTCAGAGCAGCAAGCGTCGAGAGGCAGTCGATAATCCAGGTGACCGGCCACGCAAGTGAAAAGTCTCTTAACGACTACGATGAAGGTAGCGAGAAGGAACAGCGACAGCTTTCAAACATTATCAGCAATGCTCCACAGTCAGCAGCCTCCAGCAGTTTTCCTGGTCTACCAATGTGGTCTTCTCCTGCAACGACTTCAACGTGTGAACAGGTGAAAACAAGCGGCCATGCTTTCACTGTGAACAACTTTCACAACTGTCAAGTCACATTTAACGTGATTCAGGGGCAATGCAGTTCCCCAAAGTCTACAAGTCAGAATGTTATTCCCTGAGGCCGATTGAGATCAAACATTTGAAAACAGTTTAGCGGGCTTAAGTACTCTTGCCGCTTTTAATAACTGAAATTTAGCTTTTGAGTTCGGCTTGTAATATTTTCTGAGAAACTTTCAAGAACTTCACGCTTGATTTACCTGTCACAACATTACATTTTTGATTGGTTCAAATAAAACATGTGAGCATTTTGGAACCTATTGAAGTGTTTTTTGTAGTACGTAAGGCGTGCAGAGTAGCGCGATGGAGTAATTTTGTGGAGAATATAATAAATAAAAAAATCGTATGAACCTGCTCGTGCATTTCGTGATTTATGGTCACTCGTGATGTTTTGAAAGTTCTCAAATTGCACGAGCCGTAGGCGAGTGCAATTTTGAGAACTTTCAAAACATCACTCGTGCCCATAAATCACGAAATGCACTCGCGTTCATACGATTTCCTATACTTATTGCACTGCTGTTTTTGTCTGTTTCTTATAAAAGAATACTCGTTATTATAAAGCTTTACTAATAAAGTTAATTTTTTCGTTTGTTTCACGATGTAGTCACGTGTGATGTAGATCGCGATGTTTCGACTGCATACTGTTAGTCTTCTTCAGGCGATAAGGTCGACTGGTCATGCGTGATCTTATAAAGCATGATGCTCTGCTGTGATTAGTTGTTTTTCAACAGATCTGATTGGTGCATTTCGATCCTTGCTGTTTCACTCCGTGATTTGCTCCCTCGTCACATGGCTTTCCTGTTGCTGTGTTTCTTGATCATGAGCGTCCACGCTTCTGGAATTTCTATTCCACTATCCCTGTTAATGTTGCCAGGATGAAGTCTTATATGAGTTGCCTTTTTGACCCTTGTGTGTAGTAATAAGCGTCACGATCAATAAAATTTACCTAGTTCCAGAGCGGTTTGTTTGCGGTGTTGTGGGCATGCTCTCAAACGGCGGAGGTCTTGGTAGGGGCTAGTCGGATGTCTCGATCGTGCTCCTTAACTCTGTCTTGCATAAGTCTTCCAGTCTCTCCGATGTACACCTTGCCGCATTCACAGGGAATCCTGTAAACTACGCCATCTTGTTTAGCAAGGTCGACAGCGTCTTTTGGTCGTACTAGCTAAGATCTTAGCGTAGTCTCCGACTTTAAAACAGTGCGTACGCCTTGTTGTTGTAAGCAATGGCGAAGCTGTTCGGACAGACCTTTGACATAAGGTAAAACCGCAGTAGCTTTGAAGTCGTTGGCGGGTTCGGCACTGTTGTTTGGTTTTCTTGTCTTGGTAAGTTTTTGCAAGAAAGAAAAAGGATAACCATTAGAAACCAGAACAGATGACAGACGTTTTTTCTCCTCGGAAATGACAGAGCGTTTTGTTACGAGACGTTTGGCGCGCTCGTGAAGGCACTTAAAATTACCGCGTTTTACTGATTGAGAGTGGTGTGAATCATTCGCTAAGTATTGATCGGTGTGCGTGGGCTTCCTGTAAACGCTGGTGGCGAGGCGGCCGTCAGGTTCCCTTTTAACTGCGGTGTCTAGGAAGGCAAGCTTTACTAAATGATTTAATTTTTTTCTTTTAGGGACCTTTCTTTAAACCCGGTTGGCACTCTTCCAGAAGGAGTATTCGCCAAGCTGACTCGGTTGGAAGACCTGTGCGTAAAAAGAGACATAAGTTGTTAGGCCTTATTTTATAAACACATTCTGTACACTCTACGCACACTTATCTTATCTATTAAGCGAAAGTTTGAACAGAGCTGGACTCAGGCGACCACAAAAAGGCGAAATTAAACCAAATTATTAAAAACAGAGATAAGGGAGGGGAAGGAAAGAAAGCGGCCTGCTGCTGAGCCTCTGAGATTTTACGAAGCGCCATTAAATAATTTAATCTTTCCACGTTTGTCACCTTTAAATATGAAAGAAGGAGTAATCTGTGGACTTGGCGCCAAATATTTCTTTTTCTTCCCTTGATGTGCATTTTACTTCGGAGAACAAATTCTTAGTGACATTTTTTAGTTTTATTGGAAAATGGAAACGAATCTTCAAGTGGACTGCTTCATGAGTGAAAATAGCCGACTGTGGTTTGAATGGGTTTTACGGCTCGTTGTTAAAACTTTCCAGTGAAATTGTTTTTAACAGTGGCTCTTAAAGACAAACGATTAACTACCCACATTGCCTCCCGTCTTGCTCGGAAACAGAAGGAGTAATCTGTGGACTTTGCGTCAAACCTTTCTTTTCCTTCCCTTAATGTGCATTTTACTTCGGGGAACAATTTCTTAGTGACATTTTTTAGTTTTATTGGATGACGATATAAGAATTGTACACATTTATAATCTTTTTCCTTATAAAACTGCGAATGGCTCTGTACCTAGTCTCTGATACATTTTTATAATAAATTAAGTACTTTTTAAACGGTAAGTAGCTTGAAAGCATTGCTGTTTTTGTGTGTTTCTTATCATAAAATACTTATTGTTGTAAAGCTTTCCATTTTCTCTTAGTTAAGTTATTTGATTCTTTTCATAGGGATTTATCTTCAAACGCCCTAAGCTCTCTTCCGGAAGGAGTATTCGCCAAGCTAACTAGGCTACAGCAGCTGTACGTAAAATTTGATATAACTTAGTACTTTCGACAAACAGTTTCTGTGCAGGTGTATTTTCCTTTTCTGTAAGCCAAAGGCAGAATTGTGATCTGAGTTGGACTCACGAGACGAGAAAAGGTGAAAGAGAAGACAAGTGTTTATAGGCAAGGAAGGGGGAGGGAATGTTGGAAAGCCTGCTGCCTGCTGTCTAGAGAGTTTACCAAATGCCCCTAGATGAATAACTATTCTCTGCTCGTCACCTCTCACTTTAAATATAAAGGTGAGTAAATACTACCCTCCAACGGTAAAAAGTGAATCCCCAAAACAGATGTCAAAGGGACAAAGTGTTGTCGCTGAAGAAATTCATTTCAATTACCGTAGCATCGTAAGCCCATTTAGATCGTGTTCAAAAGATCTGAGTTTTGGGAAATTTCTATGTACTACCTTTCAAACGATGACAAGCTTGAATGCAATGCTGTTTTTATCTGTTTTTTTGTCACAAAGTACTCATTATTGTAAAGCTTTACTTTTCTTCTTGACTAAGTAATTTGATATTTCCATAGGGATTTATATTCAAACGCCCTAAGCTCTCTTCCGGAAGGACTATTCACCAAGCTGACTCGGCTGTGGCAGCTGTACGTAAAATCTGACAAAGTCTAGTACTTCCAAAAAACAGTTTCTGTGTCAGCGTGCGCAAGCGTCTTTTCCTTCATTTTTAAGTAAAAGAGAAAAGTTTTAGCAAAGATGGACTCGCAACGACTAAAGGCGAAAGAGAACATTAGTATTCATAGCTAGGAAAGGGAGAGGAAAGGTTAGGAAAGTCCGTTGCTTAGTCTAGGAAGTTTACCAAATACTCCTACATGCTTTAATCTCTCTCCGTTTGTCATTTGTTACTTCAAAATGAGAAATGAGAAATAACCAATACCTCTTTCCGGTACAAAGTGAATCCTTCAAAGAAATATCAACGGCACAAAGTGTTGCTGCGTAAAAGATGAATATCAATTGTCATAGTATAATAAACTTATCACGATGGCATCCAAATTTACAGTGTCAGAAAATCTGAGATTTGGATATTTACCATGTACTTTGATGCTTAGGATATGTTATAAAAGTTCATAATGAAGGAAAATGGAAACGAATCTTCAAGTGGACTGCTTCACGAGTGAAAATAGCCGACCTATGGGTTTTACGGCTCGTTGTTAAAACTTTCCGGTAGAATTGTTTTTAACAGTGGCTCTTAAAGACAAACGATTAACTACCCACATTGACTCCCGTCTTGCACGGAAACAGAAGGAGTAATCTGTGAACTTTGCGTCAAACCTTTCTTTACCTCCCCTTAATGTTCATTTTACTTCGGGGAACAATTTCTTGGTAACATTTTTTAATTTATTGGATGAAGACATGAGAATTGTACACGTTTATAACATGTTTCCTTATAAAACTGCGAAAAGCTCTGTACCTAGTCTCTGATACATTTTTATAATAAATTAAATACCTTTTAAAAGGTTATTAACTTGAATGCATTTTTGTTTTCGTCTGTTTCGGATTACAAAATACTTAATATTGTAAAGCTTTACTTTTCCTCTAAGTTAAGTTATTTGATCTTTTTATAGAGATTTATCTTCAAACGCCCTAAGCTCTCTTCCGGAAAGAGTATTCGCCAAGCTGATTGCGCTGTGGGAGCTGTACGTAAAATTTGATATAACTTAGTATTTCCAACAAACAGTTTCTGTGTTAGCGTATGCAGGTGTATTTTCCTTTCTCTATAAGCCGAAGGAAGAAGTGTGAACTGAGGTGGACTCACAAGACGTGAAAAGGTGAAATTTATAGGCAGGGAAAGGGGAGAGAGATTAACAAATGCCCCTACATGAATAATTACTCCTCGCTTGTTACCTCTCGCTAAAAACATAAATGGAAATAAATACTACCCCTTACCGGTAAAAAGCTTTAATTTTACTCTTAGCCAAGTTATTTGTTATTTCTATAGGGATTTATCTTCCAACGCCCTAAGCTCTCTTCCGGAAGAAGTATTCGCCAAGCTGACCAAGCTGCGGTATCTGTGCGTAAAATTTGATACAACTTAGTATTTCCAACAAACGGTTTCTGTACCAGCGTACACAAGTTTTTTCTTCCTTTTTCTATAAACCGAAGGAAGAAGTTTGAACTGAGGTGGAATCACGGGACGAGAAAGAGAAGAAAAGTATATACAGCCAAGAAAGGGGGAGGGAATGTTGGAAAGCCTGCTGCTGGGTCTAGAGAGTTTACCACACGCCCCTAAATGAATAATAACTCCCCTGCTCGTCACCTCTCGCTTGAAACATAAATGGGAAATAGATACTACTTAAAACCAGTAAGATGCTGTGCCTTTTCTTCTTAGCTAACTTATCTGTTATTTCTATAGGTACTTATCGTCAAACGCCCTAAGCTCTCTTCCGGAAGTAGTATTCGCC